ATATATATATATATATATATATATATATATATATATATATATATATATATATATATATATATATATATATTGGTCTGTAAATTAAACAAACAGCATAACACTGGAGCCATGCTACACTCATCAGCTGACTCCTGTAGCACATGAAACTATGCTCAATGGAGCACAGTACACTGCTTCAAATTTTTTTAGAGGACAAAACATTATTTACTCATCCAATCACTTCACAAATCCAGTACTGCTGGGATAAGTAAGTCACACATGCACACATGCTGAGATATGAAGTTGCAGATAAAAAGGCCCAAAATAGAAATCAATCATGAGAGAAGAATGTTTGTGTGGGTCAGAGAACATTTTTAGAGCAGTTTTCAGACGGAGAGGATCAAATATCCATTTCAATCAGGAACAGAGTGAGAGACAGGAATCGGTGTTTTCTCCAAAATGCGTCTCCTGGTAGCATAATTCCCCCCTGCTGGAGGAATCATTGGATGATGAAGTTTAGTCGGTGTGAGCTCGTTTGTATGCTTCTTCGGATATTATCAATAGACAGCAGACAACATAAAATCCTTCTCTAATGGCACACAAACTGTCTCAATGTCAGGCCCCTGGGCTCTGTCTGCTAATACACTGCTTAATAGACAATCTATGTTCCAGACCCTGCATGGGTCCATTTAGGGCTGCTGGTGTGTCTGTGTGTGCACATTTTGAACAGCAATATGCTTCATCCAACAGTGTGGTGACCTGCCCTGTGGGTTTGCTGCGGTAATGTGTGTGCGCGCGTAGGTGTGTGTTCGCTTATGTCAGATACAGAGAACCTGCTGACAGGTAATCAGCCACACCAAAGCATCACACCGGGGCATAATAGCAAGGTCACACAAACACACAGTGCAGTTTACAGCTTGTAGAGATACACTGGGAACTGTGACCGTGTTGCCTCTGTTATTGTAAAAATGTGCAGATAACAGCCCTCCAACATCAACCAAACCAGCCTTTTGATTCTAATCAACACTTTGGTTTATTATGTTTTTTTCTACACTCTGCAAGTCCAGCAGTTTGTGTTTTGTCTTGGTTGACAGCTTGGTTTAGAGCCCAACAACT